AACCTTTTAATTCATTAAAAGTTTTATCAATTAAGAATTGTGCAAAATTAACATAAAAATCTTTAATAAATATATTGTTTTATAATAATTTAAAAGGATTAACAGATATAATATTTGATAGTTGTTCTTAATTTATTCTTCCTAAAAATGTTTAAACAAAAATAAATTTGTCTATTTATAATTGCTAATCTATAATGGCTTAGTAGATATAAGTAAAATTTATTAAATGAGTTTATAGTTTTTAAATATTAAAAATAAATAGGATTATTTGAAATATAATATAGATTGTTTGAGTCTATAATTTGATGCAAAACATTTAGTATAAGAAGTCATAGAAATAATATCATAACATAATTTTCTAAGAGATATTAGTTTATTAATATAGGATTAAACAGATATCAATAAATTATTTAGTTTACTGAGTTATGAAAACACAAAAATAAATATCAATTTAAACTTTTTAGATAACAATAATAAACTTTATGATTATTATATATAAAAAAGAAGCAATTTTAAATAGTAATTATAAGAGAATAAAATAAAAATAAATCAACAGTTCATTTTTGATAATTAGTAAATATAAAAAGTATAAAAAATTAAGCCTTAATAGTTTATAACTTTTCCCCTTTAAGAAAATGAGTAAGAAACTTTATAATATAATAAAAGAATGTTCTTATATGATCTTAAATAATTTTTATTTAAATAATAATCTTAAGAAAAATTAGATTTATCTTCATTTAAAATAACAGAAGACGAATTATAAATAATTTGTTTCTCCTCTTATTGCTAATAGTATTTGAAGTATTTAATTATATAGAATTCTTAAATATAAAAAGAAAGTTGCAAATTGTTAAATAAATTGAACAGTTTAACAAATTTAGATGTTTAGAATTCTAACTATGAGTTTTTTGAAGGTATTATTAAAAATTTAAGGACTTTAAATAATTTAAAAAGTGTAAACTTTGGTAAATTAGAGCCTAAATATATATTATAAATGGCTTTCGAAAATTAATATGAAAAAATATAAGTTATTTTTTTTGATTTAGAAGATAAAAATGAAAATCTAAAAATAAAAAATGAAAAAAATGTTACCAAAATAACAATAGAATTAAATGATTAATAAAAAAGATATTAAAATCAATTATTCTTTATTTTAGAAAATAAGGATCATAAAGAAAATAATAATTTAAATAAAAAGTATTTTCTAACAATAAAATTGAATTATTTTTAAAAAATTAAAATAAATCATGATTAAATAAACAACACTTTTTAGTAAATGCAAGAATAAATTTATAACTTTTTACGTTTTTCTCATTTTATTAAAGAAAAAAATTCATAAGAAACCCAATAAATAGATTCTTTACCTATAAATATGTGTGTTTATGGATAAGAAATGTCTGGAAAGAAAAAATTAATTGAAACTTTCTGTTAATAATAAAAAGAAGGATAAAAATACATTAAAAATTTACTTAAGTATTATTATACTGAAACAGCTAATATTTATATTTTGGAAGGCCATGTACTTTTTAGATAATTAAGATAAAGATTAATTAATGAATGTGATGCAGTTGTTATTATTTATGATTGTTCAAGTAAAGATGCTGCTTATGAACTAAGTTTTTATTTTGAAGAAATTATTAAGGACAATAAAATTGCGTAACCAATTTATTTAATTGGGGTTTTAAGAAAAAATAAGGAAAATTTAAATATATTAAATGAAGAAAATAATTAAAATTTTTTCAAAAATATAATTTTAAATGAAGATGATTAAGAAGATATCAATAAAGTTTTTAATAATATACTAATTGATGCCAAAAAGTATTTTGTTTTGTTTTTTCTAAATTCTGTTTTTTAATTTTTAGATTTAAAAGTTAAAAGTTTTTATTTAATGAAGATATTCTTTTCGAATTTTCTAATGAAATAAATAATAATTTATGTGTAGAATGTGAAATTTAATTTGACTTTAAAAAGTATTTATTTTTATTTTTATTTTTATTTTTTATTTTTTATTTTTATTTTTTATTTTCATCTATTTATATATAATATTAGAGTTAGAAATGTGTTTAATTAATAATAAATTAGATATTTTATTTTAAGTTTATTTAAAAATGAAAAGAAAAAAAAAGTTAATGTTACTCTCAAAAAGTATTTTTTATTTTTTAATAATATTATATTTTATATTTAATAGCTTCTATAATTCGAATAAAGTTTTCGAAGAAAATATTAATAAGTAATTTTCGGACTAAATAGTTTTTAAAGTAATTAATAATAAATGATTGTGTCAAAATTAAGAATTTTTATTTTTGTTTATTTAATTTAAATTCTTATTTATAAATAAATTTATTTTTTATAAAAGAATTTAATTTATTTAATATAAATAATAAAAATGTTCAAATAAATAATTTAAATTTACTAAATATAAAATTAAAAAAAAATTATTATATAATTTTATAAATATATATATATATTTTAAACACAAGTTATAATAAAATAATTATAAATTATAATAAAATTAACCTAAAATATAACTAAACTATAATAATTGTTAAAAAAGATTATGTATATTGCATAAAATAAAATTGAAGATTTAATCTAAGAAAAATAAGCATTAAAAAATCTCATTAATTAAAACTTTAGTCTATCGAAATCAAATGAAAATTCATTTTTAGATATTTAAAAATAACTTCATAAAATAAATAGAAAACTTTCAAATATTTAAACTAGTTCAACAAATGTTTAACAAGTAAAAACTTAAGCATCAAATCATTAAGACAAATAAAAACTAATTGATTAATTATAATATTTATAGGTATGTTATTTAAAAAAGCAATTTATTTTTATAATTTAAAAAAAAGAAAAAAATGAAAAAATTAAAAATATCTAAAAGCTAAATTTAAATATAGCAGTAAGAAGAATGTTTTTGTTAAGGCAGTATTTGTTAAGATTGTGAATATATAATTAAAAAAAATTAACATAAAAAGCGATAAATGAGTCATCATTTATAAATAAAAAATAAATTTTCAGAAATTTATTAAGAAGCAGCTAATTTACTTTCAATAATTTAAAAAAATCCTCATTTGAAATAAATATTTGAAAATAAATTTGGAAACGAATATGAATTTTTAAATAATTTACACCAATAAAATAGTAAATAATTTTTTATAAAAGCTCTTTAATTAATGGTTGAATTGTTAACCGAATAAAATTTAGAAAATAGATAAAATTTTTGTAGCCTTTAAAATTCTTTTTATAAATAAAAAGTACCTATCTATACTGGAGAAACTCTCAAAAAAATAATAAATAATAATAAATTTTAAATTGAAAATTATACAACGCCTAAGAGTAATTCAACGCAATTAAACTTTTTTAAAAGTCCTTAAAATTATTCATATAATATTTCTTAAAATTTAATTGAAATGAAAAATAGGGAAAACAAAATAAAATAATTAGAATATTAAAATGAAATTTACACACTAAAATAAGAATTTTAAAATAATTAATTTAAAGTTGAAAATCAATCCGATTTAAAATTTAAATATTATAAAGAATAAGAAAATTTAATTAATTTTTAATAAAAATTTATTAATTAATACTAAAATTAATCAAAAATTAAAAATTTAAGTGCTAACGAATTAAAAAAATTAAGTTTTTTTGATAACTAGTATTTAAATTCAAAATATTAAATAGCTTATAATAATATAGGAGGCTTAAATTAATAATAAAATAATTCTTATAATAATTTAAAGTTCTTTCATAATAATAATTCATATTTTCAAACTAATTTAGACTCTTCAATAAATGATAAATCAAATAAATTTACTAATTTTTTCTGTATTAAAAATTTTATCAAAATTATATATATATATATATATATTATATATAGAAACAGATATAAATTAAATATAATAATAAGATGATTATGAATAAAAACTTTATAGAATGAATATTTAAGATAGATAATTAAAATAAAAAATATTTAAAACTAAGTTTGTAATTAAAAGTAAATTTTTATTAATATAATTTTATATAATTTATTTATTAAAAAGAAATAAAATATAATCAACAAATACAGATTCTAATAAAAATTAAAATAAATTTTTATAATAATAGAATCATTAATAATAAAAATAGTTATTATAAAAAAAGATTAAGAATAAAAATATATTTTAATAACTGAATTAGACTTAGGAGGTGTTGATGAAGAAATAATGAAACAAAAGCAATTTTAATAATTAGAAAATATATAAAAATTTAATGAATAGCGTAAATAAATATCAGAAAGTATAGTTTCAGATTAAGTAAGAAAATCATATTAAATATCAAAGTCCTAAAATACTATTAATAATTAAAATAATTCATAAGATAGCAATTCAATAGATTAAGAAATTAAAAATTTAAAAAAAAGTGTACTTTATAGTCTGGATCAGAGAAAACAAGAAAAAAGATATAATTAAAAAATGTTAAAAACAAAATTATTTTAGGATGAAAGTTAAAGAAATTATTCATATAATAAAGAATAAATAAATGAAAATTTAAAAAATAAATAATATTTTAATTAATTATAAAAAAACGAAATATAAAATAGTTAGGAAATATAAAATAATAATAAAGAAGAAATTTAAGTTCTAAATATGATAAATTAAAAAGAATAAATAGATTAAAAAAAAATATTATAGAAAAAAATAATTAGCCATAAAATAGCTAAATATAATACAATTAAATATAAAAAAAAATAAATAACTAAATTTAAGAATTGGAGAATGAAATAGAAAATTTATAAAAAGAAAATATTAAAAAACATTAAAAATAACATAAAAATTAAAACATAGAAATATAAAATAATAATAATAATAATATTATCTAAATTTAAAATTAAGAAATGAGTTAAAATAAAAATAATTCAAAAATTCAAAATATAAAATAAAATAATATGATTTAAGTAAATGATAATTAATTAAAATAAAATTAAAAATAAAAATAAAAATAAGAATAAAGTAGAAATGAAATAAAAAAACAAAACAATAATAATAATAATCATGATAATAATAATAAATAAAAAAATGATAAAGATAATTATATTAAAAAATAAAATAATGACAAATATAAAATTTTTTATAATAATAGCAATAACGAAAATGAAAATTAAGTTGATAAAATTAATAATATTAATATTAATAATAATAATAATAATAATAATAATAATAATAATAATAATAATAATAATAATAATAATGATTATAATGAAAATAATAATAATAATGATAATTATAATGATAATGATGATTAAATTGATTATCTTAAAAGTAATGATATTTAAAATAATAATCATATTAATAATAATAATTATAATGATAATTTTTATAATATAGATAATTATAATAATAATGAAAATTATAATATTAATGATAATAATAATAATATTGATACTGATATAAATTATAATAATGAATATTTTAAATTTAACAATAATAATAATTATATTAATAATAATAAAGTTGATGATAAATATAATGATATTAATAATTATAATGAAATAATTATTGATAATTAAAATCATAATGATAATGATAATTATAATGACTATGATAATGATAATATAAATGATGATGATAATTATAATGATAATGATAATGATAATGATAATGATAATGATAATGATAATGATAATGATAATGATAATGATAATGATAATGATAATGATAATGATAATGATAATGATAATGATAATGATAATGATAATGATAATGATAATGATAATGATAATGATAATGATAATGATAATGATAATGATAATGATTGTAATATATACACAAAATTTAATGATAATAATTTCAAATATAATAGTTCATAGTATTAGATTGAATATAATAATTAAAATAATAATAGTACTATAAATAAATATAAATTTAATTAAATTAATTTAAAATAATAAGTAAAATATTAATATAAATTTCTTGATAATATATAAGATAATTTAAACATTAATAATTATAATTACAATAATAATAATGTTTAAAATCCTCATGTTTTACATTAATATTTGTAAAATTTCAATAAATATATAGATGAATGTAAAGTCTAAGAAAATTTATGATTTTTTTACCTATATAAATAATAATTATTTAAAAAGTAATTAATTTATTTATTTAATTTCTTAAACTAAACTTTTTTATTATATTATAAATTTAAAATAATTTATTGATTTATGTATAATTAAAAAAAAATATATAAATAATAATCTCTCGCAATATATTATAAATTTAAATAAAAATTCTAAATTTATTTGAAAATAATAAAAACTATATTATAATTAATTATTTTTAAAAAATATAATTAATTAAATGAATTTAGAATCTCTTCTTTTATTTGAAGACGGCAGAATTCATTCATATTTTTAAGACAAATCATCTATTATACTTCATAAACAAAATAGTACATATATAAAAAAAAGATTATTTATATAAATTAAAATCAAAACAAAACAATAGTATGTTGCACATATTTTACACGATCAGCTAATAAATTAAGATTCTTAACAAAATCAATACCATAAACCGAAAATTTAGACTAAAAATTAGATTTAGTATATAAAGTAAACAAATCCTACCCAAAAAAAAAAAAAAAAAAATTAATAAAAAAAGCATATAAATCCAATAACTGATATTCCTTAAATCCCATCTGAAAATTTATACAAAGATAATTTAAAAAAGCATTAATCAAAAATAGAAACTACCAAATGGTTTTTAAAAGAAGATTTAATAGAAATAATAGAAACTGAACAAGGAGATTTCTAAATGAGCTCAATTGATAATTATTCGACTATAATTTTGCAAAAAAACCTTCATTTTTTTACAGTTTCGTACTTATAAATTCTCCCTAAATAAAAAACAAGAACCCAGACATATGATTTTTCTGAATTTTTTAATAAATATAATATAAAAAGTACTTCTTAGAGTATTAAAATACCCTACGTTTATACATAAATCACTAAAATATTTCCACTAAAAAATCATCCAAAAAGATGGTCAGTCCCTTTATACATTTTATTAAAAAAAAAATATAATTAATTTATAAGAAGTATTTGAATTAGAATTTATTCAATATATGGAAGAAAACTAAAACGAAACATTATAATAAGTTCAGGAATCTGAGAAAATTTAACAAGAATATAATTCATATAAAATAAATGAAAATGAGGGAATTTCAGAATTCCCAAAAATAGAAGAAGATTTGAATTTTCAATAATAATAAATATAAAGTGAAAATATATGGAGAAATGATGAAACTATGCCGCTTTTTTATTCCCCTAAATATCCTTTTTCGAAAGTTTTTTATTTTTTTGACTAAGGAATTTAAGGATGGATTATATAGAATGAAGCAATAGTTTTAAAAGATAAAAAAAAGTGTTTTTGTCGAGTTAAAAAGGAAAATATTTCCATGAAAAAGAAAAGGTATTTAATACTATATAGGTTTGGTAAAAAACAGGAAAATAGTATGTTTTTTGGGAATGTGCTTAATTAATAGAATTTAATTCTTAAAATGAAGAAAAAATCAATAATAATTTTTTATTATAAAAAAATAAAAACAAGAAAACTCTTTCACATAAAAAGACTTTATTTTAATACATGAATGTGAAAATTAAGATGGAAAATTTTAAGCATTTCAAAACGGATATATTAAAATTATCTTTTCTGACAGAACTATTCTTAAATGGAATTAATATGATGATTTTATATATATTATTAATAGATTTGGGGATGAAATCTAGCTATTAATTCAAAAATCGGGTGATTTTTAGCCTTATGTTTATTAGGCAGTCAATTATAGAGATTTTTGTTTTTTGAGTGATAAAGAAAAAGTTGAAAGAGATATGTTTAAATAAGAATTAGAATATAATATTAATGCCGAAATCGAAAGAAGTTAATAGTTCCTTAATATCCTAAAAGGTGAAAAATAAGAGTAATAAGAATCATCTAATAAATAAAAATAATTATAAGTTAAAGAAATTTTCTAAGAATAAGATATTGATAATAATTTAATTTAAAAGTAGTTTTTATTTTTACTTTTATAAAAAAAAATAATAAATAAATAAAAATATATAAAAAAAGGATGTTAAAATAAAACGAAGAAATGCTTTAAAAGTTAAAAAAATGTTTATGAAATTATTTATATTGTGTTATATATTTTTATTTAACTTTTTATTTATAATTTTAAAGTATTTTTATAAAATAAATTTTTTGTTTTTTTTGTTTTTTTTTTAAAAAAATATAATTAATAATTTAAAAAATTGTTTTTAATTTAAAAAAATGATAAGAACTTTCTCTTTAACATAATCAAATAAAAATAATAAAAAAACTAAGGAGTATCCTAAAATAGGCGAACTTATAATTATTTATTTGATCTTCTTGATAAATGTTTATGTAAATAAATAAAAAAATAAATTTTCATTTTAAAATAAATTTAGAAATATCAAAAGACGATAGAATAATAATAAGAAATAAATTAAAAGAAGGAACATAGTAAGAAATATAAGAAATAGTATTAATATTTGATTAAAATAAAAATCCAAAACGTAACAATAAAAAAAACCCAAAATAAAAAATTATAAAAATAAAAAATTAGATCAATAAAATCTATAAATATAATTAAGAAAATACTTAAACAAACTAAAAGGAAAATCTTAAATTTAAATAATTTAAAAATAATAATTTAAAAGTTCAAATTCAACATATTTTACTAATAATACAAAAAATAATAATAGTTAAAAAAAAATTTCATTAAATTAAAATATATAAGAAGTATTCTTTTTTTTTAAAAAAAAAAAAAACAGCAATTTTATATTTTTGTTTATAAATAAAAAATTAAATAGCTTTAATAAAATTTTAATCATTTATAATAAAAATATGAGATAATACAATAAAAAGTAGAAGATGATATATAAAATTAAAAAAACGGCTTTTTTTAAAAGGCTTCGAATTTTACTTAATATTTTTAACAATAATAATTTTATGAAGATGAAGTTGAAAACATAAATGAAAATTAATAAAATATGGAAATTAGTAAAATTTCTAATAAATAAAAATCAGAAGGAAGTGAATAAAAAAGTCAAAATTTAAATTAAAATAATAACTTTTATTAAAATACACATAACTCCTTTTATGGAGAATAAAATATTAGCAATAATATCTAAATATAAGAAATAGTTAATAAAATGAGGATTTTAATTAGAAAGGTTAATACTCTTAAAAAGAATAACAATAATTTTTTTATGAAAATTCATTTTAAGAAAATAATCTTAGAGAATAAGAAACTGAGAGTCTTGAATAATTTAAAAAAATAGAAGAAAATATGAATATATTATATAAAAGTGAAGAAAAAATACCAGAAATAGAAGAAAAAAATCATAATTAAAATAAGAATAATTTAATATAAAATCTAAATAATAAATTCTATTAATAATAATAGTAAAATATAAATTCTTATTATTAATAGATATATAAATAAAATTCTAATATATTTAATTAAAATACACAAAATAATAATAATAAATAAGGAAATTAAAAAATCTAATAAGAATAAAAATATAATTTATAAACATAAATAAATCGTACAGAATATGAAAATCTATAATAATAATAAATAACACATAATTATTAATAAACATAAGAATATTAATAAAAACAAAAAATAAATAATAATAGATAACAAAAAGAATCAAATATTAATTAATAATAAAAACAATAACATATTAATTAAATATATCAATAAAAAGAATAAGAACAAGGGAATAAAAAGAAGAAGACGATTATGAATAATAAGAACAATTATATTAATATGAAGATGATGAAAACTAATAGTAAGGAGAAGAATAACATTATTAATACTACTAATAATAATAGTTCTTAAAATATTAATAATAGTAAGATTAACACTAATATTAAAATTAGGACTAAGATTAAAATTAAGACTAAGATTAAAATTAAGACTAAGATTAAAATTAAGATTAAAATTAAGACTAAGATTAAAATTAAGAATAAGATTAAGATTAAGATTAAGATTAAGATTAAGATTAAGATTAAGATTAAGATTAAGATTAAGATTAAGATTAAGATTAAGATTAAGATTAAGATTAAGATTAAGATTAAGATTAAGATTAAGATTAAGATTAAGATTAAGATTAAGATTAAGATTAAGATTAAGATTAAGATTAAGATTAAGATTAAGATTAAAATTAAGATTAAGATTAAAATTAAGATTAAGATCTAGATTAAGAAGATGAGGAATAATAATAAGATGTAGACTATGAATATTAATTATAATAATAATAATAGCAAGAAGAATATTAATAACTAAAATAATAATATTTATAATAAAAATAATATAATAATTAAATTTAAGATGAAGATAAATATAGTTAAGAATATCTTTAATAAAATGAATATTATGATTAACAAAATGAACTATAAAATCAATAAAATGAAAGTTATAATAAACAAAATGAAGAATATGATTAATAAGATGAAGTATATGATTTATAATAAGAACAAGACAATTAATAAAATGACTAATGTGACTAATAATAATAATATGTTTAGAATAAAGAATGCTAGGTAGAAGATGATAATTAAAAATATGAAAAAAAATAATATTAAAATAACGAAGAAAAAAAGACTTAAAAAATAAATAAACTAAGAGAAATAAAAAGATAATAAAGGTGAAAAAACTAAAAACAAAAATTCTTAAATAAATTTAAAAGTCGAATAAGATTAGGAACTTTATTAATATAGAAATTCTTTTAAAAGTATGCATAAAAGTGGAAGAAAAGATAATAATAATATAAATGAAAGTAAAAAAAAGAAGAAAATAACTTAATAAACTATATAAATACAGAATTTTCATAAGATTTAACTGTTGAATAATAAAAATAAATACTTATAAATTTAGAAACTAATAATGAAAAATAACCATTTTCTTAATAATTAATGCAAATTATAAACCGAAAATTTGATTAAGGAATTATTACTTCATTAAATAATTCAATAAAAATATAAGAATCACCGAAAAAAATAGATAAAAAAAATAATATTAATTAAATAAAAGACAAAAAATATATATAGAATCTTGTAATATAAAAAAAAGTTAAGGAGAAATTATAGAGACAATATAAGATAATTTAGAAAAACATATTTAAAAAGAAAAATAATAATAATAATAAATAAATCAAAAAGAAAATATATAATTTTATGAAGTGTAGAAAACTGAAAAAAAAAGCAAAACATTAAATAAAATATAATAAGTAAGAAAAATATAAAATAAAAATTATAATATAAAATTATAAAAAAAAGTACAAAAATTGTGTTTCATAGGCAAATAATTAAAAAATAATGTAATAATAATAATAATATAATAATAATAATAATAATAATAATAATAATAATAAAATTTATAATTATAACAATTTTCATTTGTTAGTCCTTAAAAAGATAATACTTTTAATAATATTGAAATAATTCCAAATAAGGTAGAATAAATTCCGAATTTAAATAGTTCTTAAAATTTACTAAATTTTAGATATAGACCTGATATTGCCTTTAAAAATAATTTTATTTTACGTAGTTTATAAAAATGTGAAAATTAATAATAAACTAATTAAGATTAATATAATCGTTCTTATTTTATTTCTCTTTTTAATTTATATAATTTAACTGCTTAAGAAATTTTTGATATTATTTTTATAAATTAATAAAAAGTTGATATAAGTACTTTTACATCAAATCTTTTAATTTTTTATAAAAATCTTAATAACTAATAAATTAAGGCTTTTTTTGATTTTTTGAACGTGGTAATATATATTTATATTTATCCTGTTTATAATAAATAAAAAAAGAATTAATAATAGTTTCTTGAGGTTAATGTAGTTGGCCCTATTCTTATGGATCTTTGCAATTTTAAATCAAAAGATTAAGGACATCTTATATATATTTTTAATTATTTAGATAATGAATAAAAAGGATTTACTACTAAATTGGAAGTCGAAATACTTATTTAGCCTATTTTAGAAAAAAAAAATTTAATTTTTCTGCAAAAGATTTTTCTGAAAAGTTAATTTTTTTTCTTTTTATAAAATAAAAAATAAAATATAAATTTAAAATTTAGATTATTTGATAATATTGATATTAATTAAAATGGATTTTTTACTTATTGGAATTTATATAATTGGTAATTTATATAATATTACATTTTTTTATTTTTAAAATAGTAAAAACCTTGAATCAGTTATATAATTAATATAAATTATCTATTGATATTAATAACAAAAAATTTTTATATAGAAATAAAAAAACCATTATATAATTATTTATTTATGACATTTTAAATATATATATAAATATATATATATATATATATATATATATATAATTTAATATTAAATATTTTAAGATATTAAATTTAAATATTTTATAAAAATATTATTTTTATTTAATAATTTGAAATAGTATCACTTATATTAAATATATCAATTAATTATTTTTAATTTAATTTTATAATAAATTATTATAATTACTAATTATCTTAATAATACTATATTTATTAACAATTTTAATGAATTACTACATTCATTTTAAGTATAAATTATTATTATTATAATTGTTAATATTTGTTTATATGATTTACTATATGCTAATATATAATAAAATTAATTATTTAAAAAATGCTTTTGATTTTTTTAATCGTGAATTTTTCTTTTAATATTTTTTTTGTTTAAAGGTTAGTTATAATGTTTCGGTTTTTTTATTTATTTTACATAATTTTTAAAAAGATATATAATAATTAAAATTAAATACGTTTAATGAAAAATACAAAATAATTTTTTATATAAATTAAAAATAAAATCATTAATAATCATATAATATAGATTTTGATTTTCCGTTATTTCAACCGTTTAATTTTATATATAGAAAAAAGAAAGAAAAAAAAAGCAAAAAAAAAAAAAAGCATTAATAAAAAAAATAACTAAAAAAACATAGTCAAATCAAAATAAAAAAACATTTAAATAAAAAAAAAACAATAAATTGAAATGAAAACACTAATATTTTTAATTTTAGTTTTACCTTATTAATAAAACTTATAATACACAATAATTTACCCTAGCAATTGAAGATTTAGTCTAATCTCCAATAAATACATTAACATGGTCAGAACCTTTCGTATTAAAATGTGGCGACTACGAATTATTAGGTTACGATTCATAATCATAAGCAAAAAAGCTTCAAAAAGTATTCATAAATTTACCTCCTCATTACGAACTACTTCTTAAATTTGACATAGTAATAATAGGTAAAAAAATAAAAAAAATATTTATAAAATAAAATAAAAAAAAAAATAGACTAAGACTATATAATGTAATTTAACCTAAACGGACTATAAGATCTCATATAAATACCTTTAGATTAAGGATAAACCGAATAAAAATGCGGACTTCCTGAAAAACTTGAAAAAATATACTCTTTTTCCCAAACTTTTATTCATAACGATGATTTTTTCGAGTTTTCTCTTGAAAAAACTTCACCCTAAATCTCTTCTACAATCTGGGGTATTCGTAATATTCAAATAAGTATAAAAAAATGTATTTTCGAAGACAATATATTATGTAAAAGATGTTTAATAGACACCTGTTTAGAATGTTTTAAATCTGAATTTTTAACCAGTGGTGGTAGATGTGAATGTAAATAGAATTTTTCTAGAGATTAAAATTCATTAAAATGTCTTCCAGATTAAATAAACGAGAAATTTTGCAATTCAGAAATTTAAAATTAAATAAATCAAATAGTTATTAATGCTTAAAATACTTCCGATTTATTAAATATAAATGTCAATTTAAACTTCTCATTACTATTGTCTTCTATTCCAGATGAATGTGCATAATATATTATTACTAAAGTACAAGTTTTTAACTTAAAAACTTAAAACTTCGAAAACGTTCAAATATATCTGTAAACTAATAATATAGGACTCTTTAAGCTCTCATTAGATCAATTAAATGATTTCCTTAGTGATAATAAAATATAAGCAAAAATTAAACTCGGGACTTCATCTTAAGTAGACATAAGAGAACATAATTTCTTAATTTATGTACTAAGAAATGCATAAAACTAAATAATAACATACTCTATTAACTCTGATTCTAATATAAACGATGGATGTAACCCTTTATATGATAATTGTGCTGTAATTACTGATATGGAAATATAAGCTACTTTATGTAGTGATAAAAACTGTACCTAGAAAAGACAAAATGGAGTCTATAAATTGGGAGACATGATGTATATTTTCGTTAATTTCTTAGACCCGAGTTATACTAAATTTCTTTCTTTAAGACACGTTATTCTTTAAAATCATTAAAAAATTTTAGAATATAATTAAAATTCTCATACTATATCTTAAAGTAATAAAGGAACTATTCTTGGAATTGAACTTACTATTGTTTCTACAATTTAGACTTATTTATAAATTTTTATGGAAATTAAATTTGAAACGGATTAAATTAAAAAAGAAATTTATAAAAAATTGAAGATTCTAATATAGATTAGAGAGTCATTAAAATCGAAAATCTAATTATTTTGGAAAATAAAGATGTATCTTAATTAAGTTAAGCTAATAATAATAATAATGTGTCTTCAGCAGGACTTTTTTATGCTAGTTTTTATATTTTAGTACTCTTTTTGTTCAGTATTTGATATAAATATTTTATTATAATTTTTTATTTTAAATTAATGTTTTTAATTATTATTTTTTTAAAATTTGTTTTTAAATTAATTAATTAGTTGCATTATTGTTTAAATATTATATATATATGTATGTTTTATGCAATTTATTTAAAAACTTATTTCAATTTATTATTTAATTAATATATAGAGTAATGTTTAATTTAATAAAATAAAAAATGAATTAAATTTTTTTTTTTTGTATTTATCTAAGGAATATATATATATATATATGTAAAAACAATTCTAAAACTAATAATATTTTATTTAAAATAAAATCATATTTTAAATGGAATATTAATTATGGAAAGTATCATATTATTAATTTTCTCAGTCTTTTTTAATGGCCTATGCTATTTTTTTATAATATGAATTTAATATTATATAATTCCATTTTTTAAAAGTTGTTAATATTTAAAGCTATTTGAATATATATTATATATTAATATTTTTTATGAAATATAGATATTACTTTTTTAAATAATTTATTTTATTTAAATATATATATATATACATATATACATATAATTATTAATTTTTTGAATAAAAAAAAAAGATGGATTATTATGTGTGTAAAATAATCATATTTTAAATAATTATATGTGTTTATTAATTTCAAATTTAGAGTTATAAATGCTTATATTTTCATTTTTCCTATTTCTAAAAAAAAACATAAATCAAGTAATTTTATTTAAATTAAATAGTTTCTAAGAACACTAATTCTTTAATCATTAATCGATTTTAAAATAATTAAATTTAATTCTAATTTTTGTCAATTGTTTTTATAATGATACTATTGAGTTACTATTAAAATTGCATTAAAAAATAACAATTTATTAGTTTTGGTATATAATCAGTTATCAATTCCACATCTTTAAAAATAAATATCTGCCACCTTAGTTATTTACCACAGCGGCGAATATATAATACAGTTTATCATTTAAAGAATTATTAAAATATTCCTTTGAATTAAACACATAATTATTATCGTAAAAAACCTATTTTTAACCTCCTCAACATCTATTCTTTTCTAAGAAACATATTCAAACATTCAGGATACTATTTCTTATATATGAAAACTCTCGAATACACTAGTTTCTTATTTTAAATTAGAAATATAATAATATTTATAAGGCTCAAACTCTATATCAAAATATTTCGCTTAAAGCTACCCATCTGTTCTTGTAAAAATAGCCTATTGGCATTTAAAAAATTTTATATTTTATGTATGTAATGACTGTTAAAAATATAAACTTTTTAAAGTTTAAATATCTTTTACATATTTTTGGCTATAATTTTATATAAACTTATTGATTGCTTATAAATTAAATAATACTAAATTTAAAAAATAATAGTGAAATTATATCTAAAAGTAAGTTTGAAAGTAAAATTCATTTAATCCAGTTGGACTCTGAATATGTATAGCTATTTTGGGAAATGCATTTAGTTGTTTTAACTTGATTATTTTTATTTTTAGTTTTATGATTATATAAATAATAAATATTATATTTTAAGTTAAGTTTAAAAATAAAACTAAATATGAATTTTTGTAATAAATATATATTGAATTTTAGGTTTTAAAGTTTATTAATTATAATAAATAAAAAAAGATAAACATAAAAATATAAAAAAATTATATTTTTAAAATCAAAAGTTTTATAAAAGAAATAAAATAATGTAATTATTTAAATAATAAAAGAATGTTTTATATAAAAATATTATATTATAAAATTAAAAAAAAAAAATGATAGAAATTTATATGAGTAAAAATATAAAAATAAAAAGAAAATATTGATATATAACTTAATTTAATAATTTTTATTTTATTTTAAATTATATATTTAAAAATTTTACTTTTTTAATTTTTAAGTTTTTAAATAATTTTAAAATACTAATATTACTGTAATTATAAGTTTTATTATTAAAATTATATCTATATATCTTTTTTTAATTTTATTTATTTTAAAAGTTTCTAAAATCTCAATATTTTTTTTATTAAATAAATAAAGAGTATAATGAGATAATTAATATAATAAATATTTATAAATTTTATAGCAATATTTTTATTTTAAAAATTATAAATTAATTTTTTTTTTTTAAGAAAACAAAAAACTTCTTTTTTAAAAACGATTACAAATAAATAAAAAAAAAAATCGTAAAAATAATGTTTTAAATATTAATACTTCTATTTATAATATTAATAACTCCAATATTAAATATACAAAGTTAATTCAGTGTTTAAAATTAATAAAATACGAGCGATAAAATGCATTTAACAGGTAAAACAACTATAAATTAAATTGAATACGAAACTGTATGCGATTGCGCAGAAGTAAACAATTCTTAAATATTAGATCCAGATTCAGAATCATGTAATCCGAATAAATTAAAATTATAAATCGATAAATAAGTCGAAGGAGGTTTATAATAGGAAGAAATTCGTGACATAATAGGAGATTTGCACGCATTGAAATTCGTGAACCCAAAAGAGTATCATTTTATGTCTTTAGATGGTAGAAATACTGACCCTTGCTTATCCACTTTAGGAGGGGATGCTGGCGAGTTCATTTTAGCATTATTTATATATGAGGGGATGTTATCAAAACGATAACTAGACTAAGAATCGGTTGATACTTTTTTAAAAAGCTACTTATAATATATCAAATAGGAAAAATTTTATTTTGCTACTGACGATGATGCGATTTTCCATTTAGAAAGGGAAACCGGAATAACATTAAATATAGAAACTTTAAGAAACCCAAATGAAAATGACAAACCGGAATTATTAAAAGCATTAATAAAAGCAGAGAACTAAGGGGACAGACATATTAAAAACTTGCTAAAAAATTCTGATTTATATAGTATAAGGCCTGAAATAATTCAAATGTTCATAAAAGCATTTTTCGGAATACTTTGGAATAAATAAAATCCATTAAAAAGTAAACTTTTTTTAGATTCTTTAATCGGATAACCATAAGAATAAGCTTTTTTGGAAATAAAATCAAATGAAATTTGCATCGATAAACATTTATCACCTCTTATTTTACCAAGAAAAAAAATAAATAATGAATGGAAAATGGCTTTTGTAAATCATTTTGATGCAGCAGAATAAAAAAGAAAATAATTAGCAAGCTTTTTTGCAGATGAAATAAACCATCATTAAGAACCTATTAATGCAGAAATTATGTATAATAGACTTAGAAAACATGGACTTAGTTTTTTAGAAGTAAGTGGTAGTAGATTGGCTAAGTCTTTACCATTTTATACTCTAGATATGGTATGATAATATTATTTTTATCTTTAAAAAAAAAAAAATATATATATATATAAAATATTGTATTATTATAAATTAATTCTTGTTAGAGATTTTTAAAGGTTACAAAATAAAAAAATACAATATATTTTTTATTTTTAACTATTAGAAAAATATGAAAAAGACTAATATTTTATAATATAATATAAGAATATATATAAATATTTATAAATATATATTAATATATATAATTATATGTAAATATTTATGTATTTATATAAATATAAAATATAATATATATATATTATTACTTATACTATTTTATATTTATATACATATAAATATATATAACAATATCCATATAAATATAAATAGATTTTTCTTTTTATATATTATTTATATTATTAATCATTTTTTTCTATAATATTTTTGTTTTATATTTTTAAAAACATGAAAAAAAAAATAATTACAAAGAAAAACATAATTTATGATATTTTTTTTTCAAATATCTTCTTTCTTTTCTTATTATTATTCTTTTTTTTATTCTTCTTATTAAGGTTCTACCCAAGGATAACTAAATATAAATTATATATATAAACTATTAAATAAAATATTTACGTCGTATGCTTTTTAATAAATTCAATAATATCTTTTTCTTCCCTGTTTCCTTCATGATCAATTGGCGTTTTTTTTTTACCTTTAGCATAAAATTTAATAGAAGGATATCCATTAATTTGAATTCCAGCGATTTCATTATTAGTAGCATCGATTTTAGCTAATACTAAATTACTATTATCCTTTAATTTTCTTGCTAACTCCTCATAAATAGGTTCTAATTTTTTACAATGACCACACCAAGGTGCATAGAATTCAACAAGAACGTCTTTTTCACTTTTAATTACCATATCTTCAAATGTATTTCCTACTAAAGTGACTACATTTTCGTTATTTTTTTCGGGGATAGGTTAAGACTTGATATATTTTTTAAGTTTTCCTTATTTAAACTACACAATAAAGTCTAATATATTTTCTTTAGTAAACTCTTAACTGAACTAGTATTTATCTAAATCTTTTTATTAATTAACAAGTATTAAATTGGGTATTTTCAAAGGATCTACTCCTACATAATTACTTAATTTTTCATGTATTTCTTCCCCAGGTTAACAAACTGAGAAAAGTACATTATTATTTTTAGTTTTATTTTCTTCAGCAGCCTATCTAAAAATAAGAGCAACTTCAGAGTTCAAATCATTAGTGAAAAGAATAAGAGCAGGGTTTTTTTTAGCAAAGACTTTATCAATACCCCTATCATTATACTTAAGTAAAAGAGGTGTTGAAGAATTTTCAAGGAAATCCTTAAAATTAGAATTCAAAAAAGGTCTTGAGGATAAAAAATCGTCTCTTTTATTATCGAATTATTTGTATAAAACAACTCTAAAGTTTTAAGCATTTTCATTTTTTCTAATTTCTTCATTATCTATATAAGCAAAAATAAAATCGTCGTAATTTTAGGCTGCATTTTTAAATACACTCCATTAAGTTTATTCTTATTCAGGATTTCCGAAATAAACGAACATAACTTCGCTTTTTTCTTTCAATTCATCTAATTATTATTGACTCTCTACTTTTAGTGAATGTTTCTCAGTCTTTTTTTCTAAAGAAGCTAATATTTTGTCTTCTGTTCTAGCAGAAAAATTAATTAAGTTATTTAAATCTCCATTATTTACTAATTTTAATGTTGGGAAACCTTATACTTTGAATAATTGTGCTATTTTCTTCTATTCAGTAGCATCAACTTTTGCTAAAACTATTGTTGAGTTCTTATTTGCTAATGCTTGAGCTGCCTTTGCATATTCAGGGGCTAATTATTTACAATGTCCACACCAAGGAGCATATAATTCAATTAATACATACTCATGTTTTTATATAAATTCTTAATAATTCATATCAGTCAATACATATACACCATCTTCAACTGTAGGAGGCATAGATTAAGTTTATGAGTTCTTTTTTACATCTTTAGCTGAATATTTGGCATCTTGCTTCTAGTTAGGTTTGGATTCTTCCTTTTAGGTAGTTTAAGTTTATTCTTAAGTAGTTTTATTTTAGGAAGATTGGGGTTGATTATGGAAATATAAAATTGAGACAGCTATTGATACTATAAAGATATTTAATAGAATTTATAGTTTTGTCATTTTTTTTATTTTAATTTAGAAAATAGGATATTAATTATGTAATTATAATTTTTTTTTATATATATATATATATTTTCTAATGTATATGTGTGTTTTTTGTTTTTTAATTAATAAATTTAATTTATATTTTTTTTTAATATAAATAATATATTTATATAGATGAAATTATATAAATTTATTAAAAAATTAATTTGTACACGTATTTTTATAAAAATATATTATTAATATTTTTTTGATATTTTTATTATTTTTCTTTTTTATATTTTCATAAAAATACAATTTTAAAATTTAATCTTTAAGGCTAAATAGGAAATATTAAATAAAATAATCATTTTTTTGAAAATATAATATAATTTAGTAATTATAAAATGAATAAAAAAATAATTTTAAAATTGTTTATTTTTTTTTTATTTTTTTATAAATAACATTTCTTATTTTAATATAAATATATTAAAAAAGGAAAGTATTTTGAAAAAAATATAAAAAATTAATTATTAATATATTAAAAATATAATAATATCTAAATTTATTAATATAAATAATATTTTTGTAGTTTATCAAATTATATTAATTTTTTTTTGTTAAAAAAAAAAAATAGATAAGCTTTTAAAATTATAATTAAAAAGCAAATATAAATTTAAAACTTTTGTTAAAAATATTTTAGTCCGAAAAAAAAAAAAGTTTGGATATATATTAGATTTTATAAATATGTAACTTTTAAAACATAAAAAAAAAACAAAAAAATTAATTAAATTAAGAAAAAAAAGAGATTATTCATTAATTTAATCTCTCTAATTCTTTTTATAAATTAAAATATTCGCATTATAGTTCTTCTTTATCTAAAGCTATTTAAGCACATTTAAGTTTTGCTTCAATAGTTTAGCTTTCCGCATAATCCAGATTATTTTCCAATTCTTTAATTTATTTCAAAAACTCTTTTTCTTTCTCATACACTAAAGAATTTAAAGACTAATATTTATCTTATAAAATTTTAAACTGTAATTTTAAATTAATATCTTCTTTAATTTCCTCATCATTATTTTTTTTCAATTAAGAAAAATCTTAAATTTAATTTAATAATGCTTCATTTTTAAGTATTAGTTAGTCGTTTTTATTTCTTAAATTTAACATTTTCTATTATAAATTGAAGATTTTTTAATTTTTCTCTTAAATTTCTTTATTCTTTTATTTATTTTCTTATATTAAATTTTCATTTTTTTCCTATAAAATTTTTACATTTTCTTCCTATAATTTATTTTATTTGATTTTTTTCTCATTTTCTTTTTCAAATAAAGATATTTTTTCTTTCAAAAATCCATTTTCCTTCTCCAAATTTTAAAATTCATGAATTTTTTCTAAATTAATATTTTAATTTTACAAAAGTCTATTATTTTTTTGAGTATTCATTTCTAATTCAATATTTGTTTTTTCTAATTATTCAATTTTTTCATTTAAACATAAAATTTTCTCCTATAATCTTTCATTAATTTCAATCTTTTCTTAAAATTATTATTTTAATTCATTTAAATCTTCATTTTAATCAGTAGAAAATATGGAAGACGACCTTTTGTCTCTAATAAAACATTTCAAATCATTACCAAGACTTTCAACGATTTAATGCTCTTATTAATTTTTTTCTTTGTACATTCTTTCGAAAGTTTTAAGTTCGTCAATCTAATCTTAAAGTTTTTTGTTTTCTTAGCATTTCTTCATTTCTATTTCTTTTATTTTTCCAAGTGCATCTTAAATTTCCTTATCTTTAAAAGTAACTAATTAATTTAAAGAATCCAATTTTAGATTTAATTAATCTATTTAAAAATTTAACTAGCTATTTTTTTTCTCAGATTATTTTAACAAAAGTATATTTTAATTTTTTTCCTAATTAAATTTCTAGTTTATTTTTTTTATATTATCTTGATTATTAGTCTTAAATTCTTCAAATACTTTCTCCAAATCACTTTATTTTTCTTCGTCTTTATTTTTAATTTCCTCCTCTAATTTTCTTATAAGTTTATTTTATTCGAAAATTTCATTTTCCTTAATTTTAATTTCAATCTAATATTAATCTTTTATTTCTTCTTCATTTTTTTTCCATTTATCTTCTAAAAAAATTACTAAATTTTCCTTTTCTCTTAATTTTTATTCACAAATTTTTAAATCTTCTAAAATTTGATTTTAAAAATATTTCTATTAATGTTCATTTTCCTTATATTTTTCTTCCCAATTTTCATTCATTTATTCTAAAATTTCCTTTTCCCTTCTTTTACTGTTTTCTTCCAAAAAACATAATTTTTCATTTAATTCTTCTATTTAATATTCAAAGTCATTCTTTATTTCTGCACATTTACTTTCTAATAAATCCTTCTCTTTCATTAATTATATCACTTATTCTTCTAAATATGTACAGACTTATATTTTCTCTTCTTTTTATTAATATATCTGATTTAATTCTAATTCTGCTTCCCCCAAAAGAGTTTATAATTACAGATTTTATTCTACTTATTCTTCATATTATTTAGCTTTTATATACAATAATTCCATTTCTTAATCTTTTTGGCTATTCTATATAATTTATTAAGGAGGATTTTGCATTTTTTGGATAGATTATTGCTCTTATTATTCCTTTTAAAGTTAATCTTTTTAAAGATTAATTTTATCGATTTCCATTTAAAAACGTGACTATTCTTTTTGTGCTTTTTTTTCATTTAAAAGGGACTTTTTTTCTAGATCTTAAAGTTTTTTTTCAGTTTATTTTAGTTGCTTTTTTAACTTTTTTTGTTTTATTTTTATAACTTTTTTTGTTTTTTTTTGGGAATTTTTTTTATTTACATTTGCAATTTCATTTTCTTCCATTTTTCCTTTTCTTTTTTTGTTTCTTAAAATAAAATATTATTTTTTTATTTTAATTTTATATTTTAAATAAATATAATGTAATTTTAAAATCTTTAACTAAATAATAAATAATTAATAATCTCTTATTTTTTTAATAACAAAAATAAAAATTAATTAGGAATTATTTACTTGTCACCAAACATTTTTTCATAATCAAAAAGATAAAAAAAAATTTAAAATCGATTCCATTTTAAATAAAAAACTCTTTATTTTTTTAATCAGTATTTAAAAGCCGTCCTAAACAAACACAAAAAACCATTATTTATTATTTAATTTAAATTTTGGCTAAAATAATTTTTTATATAAGCATTTATTAAATATTACTTTCAGCAAAAGGAGAAAAATTACGAAATTATATGTAAAAAAAACAAAAAATAATAAAAATTATAAATATATATATTCATATATATATATATTTAAATTTTTATTTAAAATTCATTTTAAAATAAATTATTTTATTTAAACTATTTCCTTAACCCTTAAATATTTAATAAACTTCCAATTAAATGCAATTTTATATATTTAAGGGATATTCTTGAGGGCATAATAATAAGCATATTCAAATGATTTTATATGATAAGAACAATAAACGTAAAGAAATTAACTTGAAAAATATAAAAAATTATTAATTATTTGTATTTTAACAAAATACATCACGTAAAAATTTATTATTAATAGCAAAATCAAAAACCGGAACATAAAATTGAACAAATATATAAAATTTCTAATACTTGTATTAATTTTGGAATTCCTAATATTTGATTTAATATTGAAATATATATAATAAAAAATTATTATACTAAAAGCAAAATTTTTTTTTTACATAATTTCTTTCTTTTGATTTATCTCATAATGTTAAAATTAAAACAATTAGATATTTTTTAGAAAGTATATATTTTTAATAATGTCTTGTCAAAAACATGAAATAATTACAATTACAATTAATTAATTTAAAGAAATTAAAATAATATATATTTATTATTTAATAAAAAGTAGTTTAATTAATATAAATATATATTTAATTATAAATATATATATATATATATATATATATATATATATATATATATTATATTTATAAATATCTATATTTTAATAATTATTTATTAATTAAATTATTTTATCTTCAAAAATATAAATTCTCATATTTTTGTTAATAAATATCTTAAATTTATAGATATATCTTTTTTAAATAATAAAATAAAATAAAAAGTTACCAAATTTTTTTATGAACTTTAATAAAATTTTTTTTATATAATTTGATTTTTCATATTGATTTTTATTTTTTTTTTTTTAATTATTTATTTATTTTTTATTTTTATTTAAAAAAATTACAAAATATTAGTGAAATAAAATTTTTAAAAGGGAAGTTTGATTATATTATTTTGTATCGAATTTTTAAAGGAGAGGTGAACCTGGGGGGGAAAAACTGATTTTACTTAATCTTATAAAAAATATAGTTTACTTTTTTAATATTCATATTAATTAATGTCTTCCATTACTTTTTGAACATTATAAAATACACTTTAGTTTCTAATTATAATAAAAATCGCTCGAAAGTATATTAAGGATTTAATAGAATAATTTTATTTTATTAGTTTAAAAAAAAAATTGTATAAAGAGTTTTTTTTCAAAATAAATTTAAAAAAATAAAATAAATAAATAAAAAAACTACTTAAAGTATATTTTTAATAATAAATTTAAATTTTTGATAAAATAATATATATATATATGATTTCTTTCCATAAACCATATATTATTAAAGGAAAATAAGATTTAAGCCTAATTCCGAATTCTGATCCTTCATTTGATAAAAAAGTTGAAAAAAAAGTGAGTTTTACATAATCTACAAATGCCCTGATAACTGTAAAAAAATAATATTAAAAGTTTAATTATTAAATATTAGTTAAGTCTTATTTATGAAAGCTTAAAAAACTTTTATTATGTTATTCATTTTTCTGATAAATGCCAAGATTATACAAATCTAATTATTTTTTATGTATCCTTGAATTTACTTTGGGCTATTATTTCAGTTATTGGTTTCTCTTTTATAAGAAGTAGAGTTTCAAGGAAAATCAAGTTATTTTCATGGATGCTTTGTTTAATTTTTTTTACTCGAATACTTCTGTATATTATTGTTTTTATTAAAATGCATTATATAGATGATTCTATTAATTGCTATTGTAAGAACATTTACATATAAAATTTATTTATGTTTCAGGCTATTTTAGAATGTATTATATTGATTATTTTAATTAATTTTGTTAATATTATTCATAATTATATTTTAGGTATTCTTTATATTTTTTGGGAAATAATATATTTTTAATTTATTTTATTATAATTATTAGAATGGGAAAACAAAAAAGTATTCAATTTTTTGGTAAAAGAATTTAATTTTTATTTCATATTTTTTTTCTTTTTTATAATTCATAATTATAAATAATGAAATAAAAAATAACTTTTTTATATAATACTAATTAAAATAGAACTTATTATGCATAATTCCGCCTTAACTAATTAATTAATATAACATTAAGATTAAATGGAAACCAAATAATAAAATTAAGGTTGAAAATAAATATATTTTTCTTTTTAAAAAAATAAAATTAAAATCATGTGTACACATTAAAATAAATTAATTATAAATAAAATATATATATATATATATATATATATATAACTATTAACATTAATTGTCTTAAAAATTTTGAATAAAAGTTATACAAATAGCTAGAATTTTTACAAATATAAACAAATAAATAAATAATATATAATTTTTTATATGTAAAATAAAAAGAAAATATATATAATATAAGCTTTTATATAATAAATAAATATATAAAAGTCACTAAACGAAGAAATTGTCTTTCATTTTTTCCCTTTAGATTATTTTACGATTTATTCATGATGTTTTTTTCTTAATTTAGCATCGTTTCTTTATAATTACTCACCAATTTCTTTTTCCAACTAAGCTTTCTTAATGTTCCCTTTCGAAAGATGAAACATATCTTATCTCTTTTAATGATCACTTAATAATTAACAATTAATCACATTCATTTACAAAGGTAAAATTTCTCTAAAATCCCAATATCTGACCCCATCAAATTCAATAAACCCTAAATAACTTCCATAGCAAGTTGAAACAACTTTTCCATTAACTTTAATTTCTCCCGAAATATAATCTGAGGGTTTTTTTTTTACTTTTCCTGTATTAATAATCGCCTCGATTTTGTTTTCGAAATCAGTGAAAGTAACTGAACCCAAAGTTTCGGTTTTCATAGTTCCCATAAAAGTCCCACTATAATATTCATATCCAAAATTATAATTAATTTTTTATCCATCTTTAAAAGACAAAAATCTTTTACCTTTATTTTTCAAAGTCAAAGAATTCCACCCAGCCTTAGCCTCATAAAGATAATAACCATAAAATTTATATGATTTCTAAGGTCCACATGCATAAAAATAAGAAATCTTAAATAAAATAAAAATATATTATTATTAAATATAATTTTTAATACAGGTGGATGATGAGAAATTTACTCAGCGAAAATCGAAGTCCCATCAATATAATTCCCTTAAAAAGTTTCCCCCAAAATCGGATTTAAAGGTTTCAAAAAAGTATTTGAGATTGAAAAACTTCCAAAGCTAGCTGTAATAACAAGTTTAAACCTTTCTACTAAATCCTTAATTTATGCCGCTTTATTAATATAAATAGGAAAAAGACAAGTCCCATATAGAATAGTTTACAAAGCACTTTTAGGTATCATAGCTTTAATAGGGAAACTAACTTACGTTAAATTGAAATCTCCTGAAATAATTTTTCTTCCAATTTCTCCAATAATAAATTTCCCTACACTCCTAGTAGTCTAAATAATTCCCTTATCCCCACAAAATTTCCCTCCTCCAGAATGAGCGTCCTAAACTCTTTATTCATCTTTATTTTTATGTAATTATTAAATATAGTTATTTTAAAGTTTCTCCAAATCATTTTTATTTCCTTTAAAATAAATATTCGAGTCTTTTGCTTTTGAAATTTAATTTTCATCTTCATCTTCTTCTTCTTCTTGTTCTTATTCCTATTATTTTTCTTCATCTTGATTATTTTATCCTTTATTTTCTTATTCCTATTCTTTTTTACCCCCTTCTTCTTCTAAATTAACTCCCAATTTATAATTTTAAAACTAGGAGGTCCTTCCCTATTAAGCAGGTGTCTATAATTTAATAAACGAATTGATTTCTGGATTATTAAATTCTGTATTTGCATTAAAAGAATGGAATTACAAGCTATCATCTTCATCAATAAGTTATTCATTCGAAGAAAAAAAAGACGTCCTAATAACTGGAACAGCAAGATTTTATTCTTATTTAGAAATTTATAAAGCATTATTAAAAGTATTTTTATCATTTTTATGATAATCACTGATATAAGGAGTTTTTTTTTCATTCGAATTTTCTACTGCAACATCCTATATTTATTTAATTATTTCACTTTAATATTACTTTTATTCTTATAAAAAAGGTGACTAATTTATTGAATTTTATTTTTTTTAGTTAATTATAGGTTAAAAAATTATATATTCGCACATTTCTTCCTAATACTATTCGTTTTTTTCCCTATTTTTTATATAATAATCAAGTAATTTATTCATTTCTTCTTTCTAACTTTTCGAAAAAAACTCTTGTTTTTATGTATTATCTATACTTTCTAGATTTAAACTCTAAGACATAGTCTATAATTAGACAATATCTTTCTTAGTGAGTCCTAGTACATTACTTTTATTAATAAAAAGTATTTCTTCTTCAGTTTCAATTACTTTTTCCATCACTTAGTCATCTATTTTTAATGCTAATTCTGTTTTAATTATTTCTTATTCATCTTTTTTTTACTTTTCTTTTTTAATTTATATACCATGAATATATTTCCATGGATTACCTATTCATTTTATGACTAAGTGCTTTTTCCTATTAAATCAATAGTACCAAATATTGGTTTAAATATTAATCCAATAAGGAAGTTTTTATTTTAAAAAGAAGTCATAGACTCGTTTAATCTATCTTTTTAAAAAGGATTAACTATAAACCCACTTATTGCCCCTAAAATTACCTTCAAAAGTTCACTTTAATTAAAAAATAAACCACTTAAAGATATTAAATATTATTATTAAGGCTTTTTCTAGTGTTTTTTGCACTTTTAATTTACAATAATTCCACTTGTAATATTAAATGGATGATTTACTATATTAAATGTACTTCTTCCTAAATTAGCATAAAATCCTTTATTTTAATCTAATATTTTAATATAAAAATTTTAAATTTCATTTTATTTTTATTAAATTTACTTTTTACAATCAATTCAAAGCATTTACTTAATAATTCTTTTATTTTTTCAGGATCCTTATCTTAATATAATTATAATCTAAATTTTCTTCCTTTTTTATTTTGAATTCTAATTAAATCTTCAGTATCACCCTTTTCTTTATTATCGAATTTCCCCTTTATCAATACATAATATGTAGAAGGTTTCTTTTAATCTATTTTCTTGTAATTTAATAATCTTCCTTTAATTATATCTAAACCAAAATAATAATTATAGTTTTTTCGCCATTTTGTATAATTCACTATTCCTAAAATATTGTTTGTTGATACTTATATATTTTCTACCAATAAGTTTATTTCTTCTTCCATTTCTTATTCCTCGCCTTCATTATCTTATCCGTCATCTAATGATTATTCACTTTATTATATTTAATGACTCTTATCTGTAAAATTATTCTTTTGATTAGTTTGATTTAACATTTTATTTTATATACAAATATAAATGTATGTAATAATAATAAGTAAATATTAATTTAATTTTATATTTATAAATGAAATTTAACATATATACTATATAAAAAGTAAAAAATATATTGATTGGGCAATAAATATAATATAACTTATCATAAAAATTAAAATTAATTTATAATATTATAAGAATAAAAAAACACCATTTTAATTAAAAAAAATAACTATTATTTTCATAGATTATATAATTATTAAACAAGATCAGGATTTTTTGTTTATTAATATAAAATATAAAACCCTTTTTTTGTTAAAAATTAAAAAATAAAACTTATTGATAATTAATTTAAATTTTATTTTACAAAATTTGATATTAAAATATTATATTCTTATATAATTTTAAATATCGCATTTCAGTTAATTATATATTAAAGAAAGTGCGATTAAACAATATTTTACAAAAATAAATTATATATTGTCCTTATTAAATTTATTTATTCTTCCTATATTAAGGCATGATATCATATTATTTTTAATTTTCCCCACATAAAAATATTTTAAATTGTATTTATATATAAAATTCTTTTTTTTTTTCTAAATACTGTTCTATATTTTATTAATACTTCTTACTTTTTATATAATTTCTAATTAAATAATTATTTTTCATTATTTTGATATTTAGAATAAATTAATATGTTAATTTTTTTTTGCTTAAAACTTAAGAAACTAATTTATAAAAAAGAGGTATTAATTTTTTTTAAAATTATTAAAAATGAAATAAAAAAAATTTGATATACAAATTAAATCCACTAAAAATAAAATATTACAGATTAAAAATAAATTGTATATATAACTATTAAAAATGAAAAATTAAAAGTTAATAATAATTTGACTAAAGACACTATTTGATATAAAATACCTATAGTAAGATTAAAATATAGCCATGTAAAAAAAAGAAATAAAAAAAATTAAAAATAAAGAAAGAATTTTACAAATAATTATAAATAAAAAATAATTATAAATATTAGACATAAATAAGAATGATAATACTATATTTATATATATGATAATATATTTAAATAATAAAATAAAGCTACATGTATTTAAAGAAAATATATAAAAATAAATAAAAAAAACACAAGACACAAAAAAAAAAAAAATTTAAAAAAAAATATATATAAAAAAATAAATATAATATACGTATACAATTTATATTTTTATAAAAAACAAAAATAAAATAAATATAAAAAAAATATATATATTTATGAATTATTAATTTAAAAATAAAAAGATTATCATAAATTTAATTAATAAATAATAGAAAAAATATATTTATTAATTAGAAATATATCATTAAAAGATAATAATTGTATATAAATAAATTAAAAAAAAATATAAAATATAAATTAATAATATAATTAATATTAAAAAATTAGAAAAAAGTAATATTATATTTATTAATGATATATTTATCAAAAAAAAAAAAAAATTATATTAATTAATAAAAAAATAAATAAAAATAA